TGAGATTTGAACTGCAGAACTGCAGTCAGCTGAAGTAGCCTACAGTGCTGCATTAACCACTGCACCACCTCGGCTATTATCCTTATATGAACATCCTATTATACTTTCAGCACCAAACCAAGAGATCGAGATAAGACCTACGTCATTGCCACCATTTCAGAGTCAATTGCAGCATGAGTTAATAACTCGTTGCCCTACACCTCAAAAGGAGGCACCTGAAAGGCAAGCTCTGTTAGCTGATGTAAAGCCTCTTACTCCGAACAAGTTCCTCAGAAGTCTACACAGGACCCTTCCTCCTTTTAGAGAAGGCCAATTTCATCCATTACAACATCTCAATCAATTGTAACAACCTTACAACTTGCCTTTGCATAAATCATATTTCCTGGTGAGCTGCAAATGATGTCCCTCTTACCCTTATAATCTGGAATATAATGGTTTGGACTGTCTCATCAAAAGACCAACTCTTTTTTGACTAAATGGATGTTAGCTCAAGAAACCAAAGAACTACGTACATCTTAAGAAGTAAGTTTGAAGAATCATACTTAGCGGGGTTTGAAACCTTAACTACAAATTTGAAATCAGTTCTTACCAACAGAACATTGGCTCACTCCAAAAAGTTGGCTTTAAAGAATAAAAAATGGTTTGATAGAGATTGTGCAACTGAAAAGGATATAACAAGGAGTACAGGAAAAGTAAAAATGCCCCTTCTGAGGATCACACTCACTATTTAAAGCAGTTAAAAGGACAATAAAAGGTTAACTGCATCGGTCAAGACAAAAAATACATCCCTTTTTTGGTATATCACTAGAGCCGTGAGGGCGAACCTATGACACGTATGCCACAGGTGGCACATGGAGGCCTCTCGCAGGTGGCACAGGGGGTCGCATACATATTGCATTAGGGGTGTGAGCACACGCAAATGTGCTTTCACACGCAGACACACGTCTTTGCCGCGCAAGGACAAAAAGGTTAGTCATCACTGCACTAGAGGATTGGGAAAATTCCCCTTACATCCTTCTAATCAGGTACCAATTTATGCCTGTAAAGAACATTTAAGAGAGCTCTATACAGACCTTGATTATGAATCCAAGGTTAAGGATTAATAATTGATACAGGTATTTCTCAGAGTCAGGTACGAGCCTGTAAGCTAATGATTATTTATTGGCTAAAAATTCATTTCTTCCCAGAGGGACTAACTCATTTATTGTTGATAGATAACTTCCTCTCCTCCTGGAAACAGGTGATAGACCACAAGCTGAGCTCTATGGGCTCCCCCCGGCATTTTTAATATCCCTAGGCTTTGACCACCCTAAGCCAGTAGTCAGTAATAGAATAAAAGACATGGAGTTCCATTCAGAAACAAATAGCCTCCCCATAGTAAGAATAGAATTACAGGGGATGTGGGAACCGTCAAGATATTTATAGGCCCTGATCTTCCTAAAACATAGAATAGCATTCTTCAGAGCCAGATTTAACATCCTCCCCTCAGCACTCCTCCAAGGCAGGTATAACAAGACTCCAATAGCGCAACAAGTATGTATATGTGGTAAGTCGAAGATATCACACATGTTTTATTGCACTGTGAATTATACAGAGTTTAAGTCAATGCATATTCTCCCCTTATTAGAGAGATTACTAAGGAGGGCAGACAATTTTTATGTAGACTATCTCCTCCAGGACTCAGACCTGGCTACCACATGTGCAGTAGCAAAATTCTGTGCAGCTGCAACGACCACAAGGAAAATCTGATTACAAATTTATTTCTTGTAAATACATCTAACAATTTTTAGATAACTTTTTCCTATCCTGAGATACACTTTCTTTGTATTATATCTAGTATACATGCTGCACAAAAAGTCCTAATTTATAATTCTTACATTTGACTTTGAATATTAGTGTTATGATTACATTTGGAAGAGAGAAAATGACACTTAGGAATAGCATCCTTGAATGTTAATGTTAAATTTTCTTAATACCAAAAATTGTACTGAAGATTAAACTCTGACATGATTGTCTGCTTAAATTTGTCCAAATTTTATATTAAAAAAGTACTTTTGATCTTGAATTTACAGAAATGGACCTGTCTAAAAGAAAGGTTGAAGCTTGCTCTCTTGTGTTCTGGTTCATATCAACGATATTGTAAAATAGAACAGTTGTGAGATTTAGGACCTCCTTATTAATGGATCTAATGAACAATACCCTCTCAGATTGCTGGTGTCCCATGACAAAGTGGTGGTATGCCTTTATAGACATGAATTTGAACAGTGTTATCGAAGAAAGGAACTTTTGAAAACCGTAATATGTGCAATGTTATAGATAACCATCAATACAAGAACAAGCATTTATAATATATCTCCTTTTAAATCCTAGCTTGCATTGGTGACCTGGCGGGACTGTTTGTTCAGGCCACTAAATAAGCAGGTAATATTTCTATTGATGTACTGGTGTGTGTCTTTCTGTGTAAATATACAAAAACAGTATTAATAGAAAGGGACTGACAAGTAAGTTTTAAAAAATTATTCCAAACTCAGTCTGTCTAGAAAAAATATGAATAGAATAAAATTTAGTTTATCGTATCACTGTATTCCTGAGCTGTAACTAATTTAAAACCAAATTTGCGAATTTTGTGAATGATATATGATGAAAAATAGATTATTATTCTGTGTAGCTGAAATAGTTAGATTTCATAGTATATTTATTGCCTATGATTTAATACTGCAAATTATTCATAAGTTTTATCTCTATTTTAAAAATGCATCTAGATAAAAAGTGTAGTAATGGAAAAATAAATTAATCTAGAGATGAAATTATTAATTAATTAATAGTTAAGTTTAAATAAGAGAGTCACATAATTGGTGATACTATCTACTGGGAATACAGAATATATTTGTTAGTTTCTAAAACTGCTATAGTGTGGAGTGCATGGGATAGGAGTGGGGAAAGCAATTTTAATTGTTTGTCCCAGGCATCTGATGGAGCTACCAGAAGGTTCTTAAGAGAGTTTCCTAGAAGTTTGGAGAGCAGTTCAATTTAGACCAAACACAATATCTAAATCCCTGAGAGTATTGCTTCTGAACAATTTCTCTGTTTGATAATCTTGGTGATTCATTGCTTTCATGAGGAATTCCAGGAGATGAAATGTCACAAGAAATGTCCAGTGCACTGTTGATGAAAGATAGGGGAAATCTTCCTAGACATGGTTATGAATACTAAGTTTGGGCCAGCATCATAAGTGTGCAAGGGAAACTTTCCTTCCCTTAATGTAGTCATTGAATGCTATATGACAATTTTTTAAAAGATTAATCCAAACTTTATAGATAAGGAAAGGCTGCAAATAGTGATACTGATACAATGAAATATTAGCTGAATTACTTTTTAGATAAACTCCCCCCTTCATTTTAACTTGGACGGATGGTGTAAAGTGCTGAGCAAAATGTCGTGAATTACAGCTGTGTGAAAAAGTCCTACATGCTTTCAATTTTAAGCTGTATTTACAGGTTTAATCAATTTTTCACTCATAGAAACCATGCAAAATTAGTACTTTGATGAAAATTTCTGTAGTTGAATTGAGTTGCATAATTTGTATTAATATAATCAAAGTCTTTTTAAGGTTTTGAATGAGTTTATGTGCTAGAACAAACACAACTTGAATTTTCGAGAATGTTAGGTTCAAAAGTAGCCAATCAGCAGCGAGCTTTGCCTGACCAATCAAAATGCACAGAGGCTAAATCTATGAGCCAATCAATGTTGNTCACTCCATTATGTGGCTCTAGGGATTCGAACCGCCAAATTACCAACCTTTCTGATTAACAAGCTCAGCGGCTTAACCACTGAGCCACCGCATCTCTTAGTTATTAATTGAATAGAGCTAAATAGATGCTTGCTGGACCAAGAACTCTGTTTTATTATTATATGCTATAAAATGAAGAACCTCATTTAATTTTAAGTGGAAAGTGAGTACATTTCTTCCACTTTTATATGCTAGATGACTTTTTCCCTCATAGGGGGTTGAAGAGCTGACTTGTCTTCTGCATTTTTAATGATATCATTCGAATAATATTTGCGACATAATCGGAAGGCTATATTTATTATTTATTTTCTTAAAATGTTGCTTTGTGACTTACTTTCATTTTACATGTATTCTTCACAAATAATCTAGCCTTTATGCCTTTTTAGGATTAGCCGTAAGTCAATTCCATCATTTTACAATGTTTAAAGCAACTTTATTTGGAGAGTGATAGGAAGAGCTGGAGATTAGCTCCCTGAGTGTGTTTGCAGTAGCTCCTCTCAGTTTTGTTTTATTTTATCAATTTTTAGTACTCCCACTGGGTCCTTTTTATTTAACTAATATTCTTTGGATGAAATAATGGGAAGTCTACAACACAGATAAAGGGGTTTTTTGTTGTTTTTTTGCATGGGACTGATAAGACATGGGAAAAAGAAAGAAATGCCATAGTACCAGCCCGGGATCTCTCCCACCTTTGAAAAATGCAAAACACCAAGAATTTAGGAGCACTTTGCTAAGTAAAACTGAACAACCCCCATCTCCAACCAATTTTGAGATGTTAGAACAGGACCTTTAAAGAGACTTGACAAAACAGATATTAGACTTTCTGGATCTTATGGGGGGAGCAAACTAACAGCCGGGTGTTCTTACAAACAGCTAGTCCAATTACATCCTGTATGGAGTCTGAGATAAAAGCTAAAAAGGCGAAGAACAACAAGCTAAGTCAGTACAGAGAGATTACCATGGGAAAATACAACTGAGTTTATGGCAAAGCAATGCCTTCTCACAGCACAAACTCTTGTTTCAATATTTGAGCAGCTAATAGCCATACAACATGATTTGGAGACATCAAGAAAAGATATAGCTGTTTTTCTTCAAGCACAAATTCTAGGTCCATGCACCCGCACTAAAGACCTTGCAGCAGACTTGGTTAAATCCCATATTCTGAATAAATCTGTGGACAAGGAGCAAAGAGCCAAAGAAACAATCAAAGAACCTGCTGAAAAGTAGCAGCCTACTCAAAAAAACTGGCTTTCTCCTGACAAGGTAGTAAGAGGGGGATGTATTAATAGAGAAGTTTCCTTGGAAGCCAGTAAAGCATCCCCCACCCCAATTGCATCAGTTACATCACTCACTGCAAATACAACAAATTGCTCTTAATTATGGATACTGCAATACCAAGAGTTTAATACTAAGTTTCCTAAACCAGCGTCTTCATTGCCAATGGGGGCAAATTGATCTTGGTGCTGCAGAGTGGCTCCCTGAGGTCCCAAATTGGAAGTGAATAGTCCTGTATTTCAAGCAGCCGACCATACTGCTGATGCTATTTAAGATGAAGGCTCACCTAGTCTCCTTTCAAATCTTTCCCATCACAGTTTCTGTGAGGAAATGGTTAAACCCTTAATTGTTAACATGCAAGCTCCCAAGGTTGCTGTCTCTTCCTCATTTTCAACCTTGAGAAAGCGAGAGAAATAAAGGGGGAATCAGCCAGCCTTATTCGGTGAAGATATACTTAACAAAACAGAAGCTGGCCTCATTAATGCTTTCAGCTTTCTACCAAGGAAAGAACAAGATAATGTTCTATTCAGGTTAGAAAATTTAAAGAAATCTTTGTTGTAATAATCGACACAGCTGAGTTGCTTATAGATCTGTCTTCCCAATAATTGAGCCTATTACTTCCCCCCTCCCCCGAGGATAAGGGATTGAACGAACATGAGATCATGGAGAACAAAAGCCAAGATTCACAGGGACCAATAGAGATCCTGGTAGAGCTAGNCACCAAATTGCAAAAAGCTTGTGCTTTTCACTTAAAAACCACCAGTATTTATTTAAATATAACAATACTTGCATAGCAATTAGCATAAAATATCATAAAATCAATGGCCTATCCAAAAAATGTCATAAACCATAAAGCGTGCAGGACTTTTTCACACAGCTGTATTATCTGCAAGGAGTTTGAATCCTGTGGATCTTGAGGAAATGAACAAAACATTTTTTGGAATGGGCTACAGATCAGTAAAAATTTTCTCTAAAGGGCTATATTATTTAAAAAAAAATACAAATATTTATTTTTGGACCAAATGGATTGCATGGGAAGAACCACTACTGCGGTGCCCTCCTTCTGGCCCTTTGACATTCCAGCACAGTACAGTGGTACCTCATTGTCATTAATTGCTTCCAGGAGGAGTGATGAGTACCAAAAATGTTGAATACCAAACAAATATTTCCCATAAGGAATAATGTAGTGAGTCACAAAGCAGCTGACATTGACACATTCTAGCTTGGGCATTGAGTACCAAACATGATTACAAGACAAAATGAGTTGAATACCAAATTTGATGAATTTCAAAACAGTTGAGTACCAAGTATTGCTGTAGCTCAGCAGATTCCAAATTTGCAGCTTGGCAGCCCAGCTTGGAGGGAGAGGAAAACTGGGCCCTGTGCGTGGCAGGCTGGCAGATATGCGCAGTTCAACTGGCACAAGCGGCAAGCAGGTGTGTGCATGTCCGCAGTTCAACTTGCACAAGTTGAGCTGTGGGCACAAGTACACACTGGCCTGCCACTTGCGCAGCCTGTTTCCAAATAGGCCCTGGCCCAGTAGTTGGCTGAGGTTGGAGACCCCTGCTGTAGCTTCTCTGTATGGTGGAAGCAGTGTCAGCAGAGTTAACTTTGGAGAGACTGGCAGGCCTGAATACCTCAATGGGATGCGATGAAAAGGTGCATGGTAATTTTTAGCAGTGCTGAACTCCCAGCAAAAAGGACAACCACCCAGAATGCGTATTGTTATCTTGCTGTCAACTTTGGGCTTGTCCCTGGGGTCTGTCATCTTCTATCTGTTGATTACCTTACAGGCTATCCCAAAAAAGATAGAGGGCTAGATTTGCCATGTGTACTGTAGTTTGTAGACCCATGAGCTAGGCTATCCATGGCTCCCTTCCCTATCTGGCAATATATAGAGCTTGGAGACAATAGGAACTTGGTTCTGAATTATTGTGAATTCTTCATAATGGGAGGGAATTTTTCTGATGTCTTTGAAGAAGTTTTGTGTACTTCTTATCCTCTATCCTTTTCATCATATCCTTTTCATCATCCACATGGGAAGTCATTTGATGCTTTGGAGTACAGTATTATCAATATGTAGTTAATATCCAGTTCTATTTCACTACCATTTGTAATAAATCACGTGTACATAATGTTTAATAGTTAAATTTTAATGTTAATCCTTAGTAATTAAAAAAACTTAAATGCAGAAATGCTACCTCCCAAAGAGCTGTATGTATTAACCTGAGGTCTATTGCAGTACATTCTTGATAATGGTCATAATTAAAATATTTGAATTGTCTCATTAATGTAGCATTAATAAAGGTTTAAAAATCTACATGGAATTTTGAATGGCATGTACTTCAAAAAATAAATGGGGTGAGGACCAAAAGTAAATTTTATTGATTTATTTATTTATTTACAGTTCAAATTATTCTTCCCCTGTATTTTATATAAAGTTATTACATCAATATATTCATTTTCTTCCATTTTATTAAACATAATATTTTGATGCAACTTTTGAAAGGGCTAGGGTTAGGGTCTAGGGATCACATCTGAGGGTTTTGGGCAGTGCATACCACCCAGGGGTTCAAAGCATCCTATTTGCTATATTAAGGTCCATTATATTATTCAAGTGAATAATATGTATATTTGCCCAATTCATATTTTCAAAGGTAACAAATGCTGTGTTGAAGCTGATTGAAAAAGAAAGAAATGGTGAAACTATCAATACAAGACTGATCAGTGGAGTTGTGCAATCTTATGGTAAATTAATATTAATGATTATTGGTATTTTTAAGATTAATTTTCAATTAAGATTAATTAAAAATTAATCTTTAATTATAAAGATTAAAGCTTGGTTTATATTCAGTCCATTTTTGTTTCTTTTTTTGTATGTTTTATTGATAGATTTTTTAATAAACAAATACTATATTTTTTTTAATAAACATAAAAAAACTATCTATCTGACCAGCATGTTGTATGAGTACAATTAGTTTTGAATAACACAAAGATGATAAGCATAGTAGTGTCCATAATATACATATAATTAATAAACAGTAATACTAGGATTAGCTTATCCATACCAGAACATTTTCATATATCATTAATCATTCTCTTAATCTTTTTAGTTTCTAACCTCTGTTTCTATTAGTTAACCAGTGGTAAAACAAGTCCCATGTTAAAAAGTATTATTTTTCTTCCTTCTCCTTTATTTTTAGCGTTAATCTGCCCATCTAATATTTTTATGGCACATTCATATGAAGGGATCTCTTTATTTTTCCACTTTTGTGCAAACACAATTCTAGCTGCTGTCAACACGTGTAAAATTAGATATGGTAAAATATCCAACAAAAATATTTCTGGTTTAAAATCAATATGTTGCTTTTTTTTTTTTGCCTTTGGACATCTACAAACCTGGTATCTGATTACCGTATTTTCCAGAGTATAAGACGCAACTTTTTTCCTCTAAAGAGAAGCTGAAACTCTGGGTGCATCTTATATATCGAATACAGCATTTTTTGCTTCCTGAAGCCCCGCCCCTTCACCAAAATGGCCATGTGTAGCCTTATGGAGGCTTTCAGACAGCTCCTGGGGGCTGGGGAGGGCAGAAATGAGCAAAGAATAAGCCTTTTTTGCCTCCCCCCAGCCCCCAGCAGCACTCTATAAGCCTCCATAAGGCTATGCATGCATTTTTTTGACAAAAAAACGGGCCTTTTTTGCTTTGTTTTTGCCCCCACTCTCCAGAAGCACTCTGCAAGCCTCGCCCTCTCCCCAAGGCCTTTTATTTGAAGAAAAACGGGCCGTTTTGGGGAGGTTTACATAATGCAAAACCATTCCCCCCCCCCTTTGGAAAGCTGTTTAGTTAGAGTGATTGATGAGTTTTAGGTGCTACAGGTTATCAGCGATTTCCTTCTCCAGCACATGGATAAATACACCTGGAAACATCTCCCTACCTACCTACTCTCTCTCCTTCCCTACCTACTGTATTTATCTCTCTATTTCTCTCTATCCCTTTCTCCCTCTATCTACTTATATACCTACCTACTCTCCCCCTATTTATCTACTATATTTCTCTCTCTCTATTTTTCTCTCTCTATCCCTCTACTTACCAACCTACCTACTCTCCCTACCTATCTACTGTATTTCTGTCTGTCTCTCTCTATTTCTCTCTCTCTATCCCTCTACCTACCTATCTATATTACCTACCTATCTACTTACTTACTATCCCTCTCTCTCTCTCTCCCTCTCTCTCTCCCTCTCTCTCTCCCTCTCTCTCTCCCTTTATCTACCTACCAACCTACCTACTCTCTCTCCCCCTACCTATCTAATGTATTTCTCGCTATCTCTCTCTATTTCTCTTTCTCTCTATCCCTCTACCTACCTACCTACCTATCTACACTCTGTCTCTGCCTACCTACCTACTGTATTTCTCTCCCCCCCCCCTTATCTACCTACCTACCTAACTACTCTCTTTCTCTCTCCCTACCTACCAACTGTATTTCTCTCTTTCTCTCCCTCTCTATCACTCTATCTATCTACCTACTTTTTTTAAAAAAAAATTGCCTCTTCAAAACCTGGGTGAAACTTATGCTCCGAAAAATATGGTACATTTCCAACATTTGAGAGATACGTTTTCAAACATCTTTGCTAGTCTTGCTGGTGGTAAGTGCCACCTATAAAACATTTTACATAGATTTTCCTTATAGGCAATTGATATTGTTAGTTTATATAATTTCTCTCACACAATTTCTGCCATTTATCTAACTCTATAATGCATCCAAAGTTTTTGGCCCATACTATCATTGTTTCTTTCACTTGCTGTTCTTCCATTTTAATACTCAATAAATAGCTATATGTTTCTTTATTAGTTTTTCATCTGCCTCTAGTAGTATCTGATCTAATTCCGTTATGCCTTTATAGAAACCATACCTTTTTCATCTTTCTCATATCTTGATTGTATTTGCACATGCGGGCCACCATGCTAAATCAATCCCTTGATTGTTCAACTCTTGCTTAGATTTAAGTTGTCCCTTTTCATTCAAAATGTCTTTATATCGCATAATTTTTCCCACATTAACCACATTCAGATGTATCAGTGCCTCCATTATGAAGAGCCAGACTGGTATTTTCATATAATATTTTTCTTTGATTTTTCCCCATACTAACAGCAAAGGATTTTTAACATAATATCTTTGAAAATATCTATGTATTTTGTTTTTACCATACCAGAGAAAGGTGCGCCACCTCGGTTGAAGATCATGCCCCTCCAAAATTAATAGTCTGTTACACCTCTGCTTGCAATTTATATTTTTCTTTTTTGATTTCCATACCTTTTATTTCTGAGTCTTGTCTAATATTTCTGTTTAACACTTTCAAAGTTATTACAAATAGTAAGGGGGACAAGGGACATCCATGTCTTGTGCCTTTCCTTACATTAAATTTCTTTGTCATGTCCCTATTAACCATCACAGTCCCTTTTTACAGTCCCTTCTTGTTTCTATGTAAAGGAATTTGAAATATATAAGAATTTCATTATTTGCCCATATATCTTATAAATCCAAACAATAACGAAGTCACTCAAGTGATTTATTATTTGTATGTACTCTTTAATTAGACATTTACTGGTTTCACATAGCATCTTTTTGCATATCACCCTTATATTTTGGTATTTTAAATCCTGTTTCAGATCTACATCATCTTTTTCCATAACACTTCTTAAAAGAATCCAAATCCACATTTAAATCAGCTTCAGTCTTTGCTTTATTAAGTAAAATGTGTTATTCTTCTGTATGTTCAGATAGTATTTTAGTTAGGAGAGTTTATCACTGCTTTCTTTTTAATTTTTAGGAACCAAAAATGTATGTACGAACAGTGTTGGATGTTCATAAGAAATATATCCTTACTTTCTTCTGTAGTTAAATAGTATAGGTAGTCCTCGACTTAAAACAGTTCATTTAGTGACCGTTCAAAGTAACAATGGCACTTAAAAATTGACATCACTATTTTTCACAATTATGACCTCTATAGCATCCCCATGATCATGTGATCAAAGTACTTTAAACACCCCAGAGGGATATTTTTATTCTTTTATGTCCATCTTGTTTCTTAACTTTCTTGTTTTTTCTTATTCCTTAACTAAAATTAACATCTAAGACCATTTTTTTTTGTTTTCCAAAAAATGAAGCTTTAAAAAAAACTTACTCACTTTCCAGCATCTTAAAGCAACAGAACATGAAATTGATTTTGAAGGAACCAAATTAATCTCCAAAACTGAACACTTCAACAAGAGAATAATTATGAAAGCCATCAAAATAGAAAAACACCCCCACAACATGAATAAACATGACAATACCTCCCACATACCAGACATCTGGAAACCAGCCCTAGTCAACAAACAAGCCTTGGTTGCTTTGTGTGGGGATCGGAGGGGTGTGTGTGCAACCACAGCGGCATCACAATTGCTGCACCCCCCTCTGACCCCCAGACAAAGCAAACTGACACCCGCCATGAACATATGGCCAGACCGCAAACTCGGAGTCAAACCAAAGCCCGGGATGTTACACCACAGCCATCTGCTCAGGACATTACATCACATCACACAACTCAGGAGGTTACAACGCAAAGGCTTAGGAGGTTATAATGCAACCAACTCCCCAGGAGGTTGCAGCACAGGACTCAGGATATCAGTACAATAGAGCTCAGGATGTCATCACACAGCCCATTACCCAGGTCGTTGCAACACAAAAGAACAATAGGCACATAGCCAGTACCTCAGCCGCACAGAATGTTACGAA